CATTTGTTGACTGAATGGTACCTGATTGTGAGCATTTCAATTAGTTTGATTTATCTAAACTAGGGACTAATAACATCATTTTACACATAAACACACTGAGACCAAGAAAAAGCACATAAATTACTCAGGCACTCAAAATATAGGAGAAGGCCAAAAGAAAATGTAAACTCTTTAGAGTCCAAAGTCAAATTCTGGGTTTTTTCCATTCCAAATTAGAAATCTGAAACAGATATTTGGGAGGATGGACACAGAAATTTAAACTCAGAGTATTTCCCATTCAATTTCAAGTTCATGTTCCAAGGTGCAAACTTAAAGTTCCCAGGATAAGTATTTTTGTTCTAGAACCAGCTTGCTAGGTGAATGAGGCCAGGATTTCTAGTCCTTCTGAAAGGAGTAGTGCCCTGGGTATGTTTGTAGAACTGCCACAAGTCTGAACTGATCGCAGTTTTCTACTTGACTCATCAGTGTTCAGGAGCTTTGTCCATAAGTCTGGGTCTGTGTGTTATTCCCTTTCTTTTCCCCACCATCTCCTTCCTTCTATGGGCTTTCATGTTCTTTCATGCTATTTCATGCTATTCTGTGATCGTGGGTTGATGGTTCACTCATTCACTGAAGTATATGCACTTGTTCTATTTAGCATTATCAGTTTTCATGACTGTTTATGAGACGTTTTCAAATTTCACTTTCCGGATCACATATAATTCACTAATTCAAGGGGCGCCTTTTCTATGACACAGTTATTGAATAGAATGATTTAAGAGACACTACATTGTAAAGTATTTTAGTCCAGCAATGTAACTTTGGACATGCCATCAGGAGATATCCAGCCTTAGAAAAAGACACCGTGCTTCATAAACTGCAGGGTCAGAGAAAGAGGAAAACCTTAGAAGAGAGGTGGCCACACAGTGGCCACAACAATGGGCTTAAGCAAAACAGCCACCGCGAGGATGGCATGCGACTGGGCAATGTTTCACTTAGTTACTATTAGTGAGAGCCTACTCGGCAGCGCCTACGAACAACAGTTGAGCGGAAGTCCAATTGAGCAGAAGTCTGTTAGTCACAAGTTTGACTGATGGACCGCACACCTGTCAGGAGAAAAAAAGGTCATGATATGGTCCTGTAATGATTGCAGTCTGGAAAACCCTAAGGGTGGTTTTATTCTGTCACATAGGGTTGCTATGAGTTGTACTACCAACTAGATTATGTTGGTACTAAACAATGTGATTCATAAGAAAAGCAAGAGGAGTCCCCCTCCCACTACCTACATTGAGTCACCCTACCCTCTTTCTATTTTTTTGGTGAGGGCGGGGCGGGGACTGAGATCTGAGAGGATCCCTAGGTAAAACAGAAGCCATGGAAAGCAGTTTGACTTTCTAATGTGAAAACACTTTTGATATCATGATTCTCAGCAACATCATGGAAAGAGGCTAGGGTTCTGTCTTAAGCCTGCCTGAGTGGTTAGAAAATTCTCTAATAGATTATGTCCTATTGATTATTAGAATATCTTTCCAAATCTCATTCCAATTCCACCAGCCTTTCTTAATCACTTAAGAGATTGCATCCACCCCACAAAAATACTCTATTAGAAAAATGTGTTTAGAGATAAGCAAAGATTGGTGGTTTCCTCTCAAGATTTATAGGCTTTTAAGTTATTATTTTTTTAATTCCACAGCTCAAACATCATTTAAGCCATCGTTTCTGCCACCTCAGCCTCCGTTGATCATATGCATTCAGCTTTTGGAAGGATCCTCATTGGTTTCACAACCAAAAATCCAAACTCCCCTAGTTTTCCTTCGTTTAGCTGGTCTTTCGACGCAACACCCGTTCTTTTTGTAAGAATCAAATTCTCCAGGCCCAGCTTCAGTAAACAAAAACGCATGGCCCTGGTAGCAACAGCATTTGGGTCGAGTAGAACTGCTCATTTTGGGTTTCTGAGACCGTTCATCTTTACAGGCGCAAACAGCCTCATCTTCCCTCAACCACCTTAACAGGGCTCATGTCTTACTTTGTTTCTTTTTGTTTTCTTTTGTTTTTTTAAAATGTGATTTGGCTGAGAGTTTACAGAGCAAATCAGATTTCCGTTCAACATTTTACTCATATTTTGTTCATGGCATTGATTACAATGCCCACCATGCAATAATATTCATGCCACTCCCTCCCACTTCATCCCACTCCCTCCCACTCCCTCCCATTGGTCCTCCCCATCCCTTCCTGAGATGGGTGCATTCTCGATCTCTTAGAGTTGACTGTTCAAAGGTGTGCGTGCCTCCCTGGTGTTATGTTTCATCTTAGAAAAGTTGAGCTGCAGGGGTAAGTTCAGTTCCACTCTAGATCCCACCAGTCTATCAGACCAGGAAACTGGCCGTTTTTTATGATTTCGAATTTTGTTGCATATTTTTCTCCCGTTTGTTCTAAGATTTCATTCTGTGATCATTTTCTCATTGGTTGATGTTGGTAGCAGGGCGTGCTACCAAGTTCTTTAAATCTTTATAGGAATAGAAAGCTCATCTTGGTTTTAAAGGGTGCCTAGAGAATCTGAACTGCTGACCTTGCGATTAGTAGTCCAACTTGAGAATCTTGGGTCACCAGGGCTCCTAACTCATGGTGAGAGACACCTTACTAAGCAGGAGGCTGTCTAACAATGTTGCTCCCACAGCAGTGTGACATACTGGGACATCTTGCCTTGGCCTTGGTTGACAATTAGCATAAGAAAGTTATTAAATTAAGAAATACATGGTTATGAAACACTGAGTACTTATTTTTTTTAGGAGTCTCTTGATAAATTGTTAGGTGCAGTCTAGTCATTTCTGACTCATAGTAACACTATGCATAACAGAGCGAAACACTGCACACTCCTGTGACATCTTTTCAAGTATTATGTTTGAGCTCATTGTTGTAGTCACTGTGAAAAAAACCGTTTTGTAAACAAACTCCCAATGATAGTGAACTATTTGGTAATGCTAGCTAAACTAAATGCTGTCAGTCCATCTCACTGGGGATTCTCGTTTCTACTTTAATGAGCATGATGTCCTTTTCTAGGGACTGATCTCTCCTGATAACATGTCCGAAGTATGTTAGAGGAAGTCATGGTGGATGAAGTCCCGCTATCCTCAATTCTAAGGTGCATTCTACCTGTATTTCTTGTAAGACAGATTTGTTTGTTCTTCCGGCAGTAGATAGTGCATCAGTTCTTCTTCAGCCTTCCTTATTTGATGTCTGTCACATGTATATGAGGTGATTGAAAATACCATGGCTTGGGTCAAGTGCACCTTTGTCCTCAAAGTGACACTTTTGCTCTTTGACACTTTAAAGAGGTCTTACGCAGTAGATTTATCCATGCAATGCACTGTTTGGATCTCTTGACTGTTGCTGCCATGAGCATTGATTGTAGATCCAAGTGAGAGGAAACCTTTGGCAACTTCAATCATTTCTCTGCTATCACGTTACCTTTACGTGAGAATTTCCATTTTCTTTACATTGAGTTTTAATCCATATTGAAGACTGCAGTCCTTGCTCTTCATCAGCAAGAGCTTAAAGTCTTCCTCACTTTCAGCAATAATGTTTGGTCATCTGCATATCCTAGGTTGTTAATCAGGGTGCCTCTAATCCTGAGGCTGAGATCTTCTTCATACATTACCCCTTCTCTCATTAAAATGTTTGCCCACCTGCACTTGTCACGGCTTGAAATAAATCTTTTTTATACATTCATTACATGAGAGCCAGAAGAAATAATGTCACTATAAAAACATTATGATCTATTTCAAAATAGAAGACTATCGTATATACTCGAGTATAAGCCCACCCGAGTATCAGCCAAGGCACCTCATTTTACCACAAAACTGCGTTAAAAATATGCTGAAAAACTCAGCTTATACACGAATATATATGATACTTTCAATGGTGACAGTTTAACACATGCAACTGGAAGCTA